AGATTTTGGCCAAGCCCAGCAGTCAGACCCCACCTTAGCAGGGTACAGGAAGGCAGTAGGGGTCTCTAGGGAAGGTCGTGGCCATGAGAACTTCCACTGGGACAGGGGACTGTTATATAGGGTCACAGGGGGAGTGGGTCAGGGGGTAGCCCAAGTTATAAAAAGGCAGTTAGTCGTGCCCCGTAAATACCGGGCGGAGCTGCTAAAGAGTTGAGTTGTAGAGTGAGATTGCAGAGTTAGGGCAAGTTAGATTTGAGATGGGTAAAAGGAGAGTTTGGTGGAGAAATTCTGGAGATCAAGGCAGTTGAGATTTCTGCGAGATTGGAAAGTTGAGGGTGGTGAAATTTGGTATGCTGATGTCAAATGATAGCAGATGGTGGTCAGACAAAGGAAATGGAACAGTGGAGGCATTAGAGGTGGTACAGAGATTGGTGAAGATGAGGTCAAGAGTGTTTCCTGCTGTATGAGTTGCTGAAGTAGACAACTGCGTGAGGCCAAAGGAGGAGGTTACAGAGAGCATACGGGAGGCATCAGGGCAGTTGAGGTTGTTGATTGGGATGTTAAAATCCCCAAGTATGAGGGAGGGAGTGCTAAAGGAGAGAAAGTGGGGTAGCCAGGAAGAAAAGTGTTCAATGAATAGCCTAGGCTAACAGGGGGGAAGAGGGGCGATAGATGATGGCAATTCCTAAAGGAGTGGGCTTAAAGAGGCGGACAGTGTGAACTTCAAAGGAAGTAAAGGAAAGGGCAGGGACTGAACGGGATGCGTGGCCATGATGAGAAGGTCGTCGTACATACATCTGCATGGTAAAGATCGGCTGTCCACCATATTAGAAGAGGAGACAAAACCGGAACTTCCATATATGGACCTGATGGATGGGGATATGGTTAATTATGTACATGTGTATGTTATTCACATTTATTGTATAAGGTATATAAGCTTATGATATTATTGCACCTGAGGAAGACCAATTGATTGGTTGAAACGCGTTGTGCTATAGTTCTATTTTATTTAATAAAGCGCAAATTTAGCATTTTATACCTGGTTCCTGTACTTCCATCCATACGAATACCGTTCTTTTCCTGGGGGACCTGCATCTCTTTTCCAGTACCCATATTGGATTTACCTATACACCATTACAGTTTAGAGCTGACTCGCATGGCTCTTTAGATTGTGAGTGCTCTAAGTTACTTTCTATTTTATATTTTGCATATACATGTTGCCCTATGATGGTCTTTTACGAGTATACATTTTTAATTTCTATCTTAACACAAAATGTCTGCCGGTGAAAATATACTGATAGCGCGCACCTAGGGTTCCCTGGCATGTGCTGAATGGGATCTGCATCAGCCACGGTCGGAGACACAGCGAGTGACCCCCAGATAAGTGCATTCATGCAGGGATATACAAATCTTTCACATGGTTAATACGTCAGAAAAGAAAATTACAAGTTAGTATGTATTATACTTTCTTTATGTTCTGATGTCAAGACTAGTAACATTTTGAATTGTATCCCAGTGTTTATATTTTACACTGGGTTTAACTTACATCAAAGGTTACCATTTTGTATTTGCATCCAGTACACTATAGGAACTCGTGGGCCGTGAATTCAATGCATTTGCCAAGTTTATAGCAGATTACCCACCTGCTGATTGGATTCACTTAGCTTTTTCACCTAGAGTATATCTCATTCTGCGAATAGGAGAATATTATCTAAACTGAGTACTCAGATCTCTTCCCTAAATGGGACCAACCTCTCTATTTATTCATCTTATCCCTATGGTTTAGGAATAAGGGATGTTCAATTCAATACGATAGCAAGCCCCCTGATCACTATATCTATGATCATGATTTGTTTATTTTGTGATTTCTCTGTTTCAATTAAAATATTCTTATAAAGATTGTTCTACTCTTAAATAATTTTTAATATTTAAAAGTCTTATCTGTGTTCATATTATAGGACTATTAATATTCCTTTCTAAACTTTGGATACCTCCTAGTTTGTATCTAAGAAATTGTAGCTCAGTAGCTTTTCTAGTGATTAAATAACTATCTTCTAATAGATGTTTCATATTAAATGCATCGAATAGTATTAATAGATCCCTTTATCATAGATCCCTTGCTAGGGAGTCTACAGTACTACTTTCAGTATTTGATCAATCTATTTAACAATATGGGAGATTTGTGTATCCCTTGAATTGTATAAATATTTGATCTACAACCACCTCACAATTATATCATAGTTTTATTATTATTGGTTTAGTAATGAGCAGTAATTCAGTAAAGTTTGATTTATGTTTTATTTCGTAAAGGGTTTAAAATCACTGCTCCCCCTAGTGGGAAGTACTGTTTGTTTCTGTTGGATTGAATTCTGTATATTAATGATCTGCAAGAAATACTTAAATTTGCCGAGGCATGTTTTGATGTTGTTTGTGTTCTTAATAGCTATGCCAAAGACACACTCTATGATATCTTCGGGTTATTCAGTAAACCAGTGTTGGTAAATGTGAAAGACAGGGGAGAAGCTAAGTCTGTCTGTGTAGCACCAAGTCATATATCACAATGCTGGTGATCATTTAAATGTTATATGAAAATTGTTACCATGTTATTGTGGATAGATTAAATTTGGTGCAAATGATCAAATTATGACTGGATTGGCAATTTCCTTCCGGCCCCTCTGCTGAATGCTTTGTTGTTGATGACAGTAAGAAAATGGTTCTAAAACAATATTAACCTCCTAATTGTTTATTCTAATGCCCCCTTGTGCCTTGCAGGAGAGAGTGGCATGGGAAAGTACCACGGAAAGTTCAGCTTTGACACATTTTCCCATCACCGGGCATGTCTTTTGCGCAGCTCTGGCCGTGAGAAATTAAATGAAATCCGATATCCACCTTACAATCAGAGTAATCTCGGACTTGTCCTGTATGCTACGGAATCCAAACGGAAAAGCTGGTGCAATATTCAGTGACCAAGCAACACTGCATATCTATAACAAGCTCTTATATCGAGTATTTCTATATCCTGTGCACTATACACCTTATAATAAAGGAGACAATGTATTCAATATATCAGACTCTTGTATAAAGAAACCTTGAACTTTTGTTATTTTCTTTTTGTTTTCTTTTTTTAAGCATTCCTATATCCTGTCTTCTTAAATACACTGTTTATCTATAATGACACACAAGATACTGCCTGAGCTCTTATACAAAGACATGCTGTACTCTTATATAAACAGATTTATTTACTAAGAGTTCAAAGTGAATTACAAATCCACAGTAGCCAATCTGAAAGTTATTTTGACCTTAAATTTGAAATTCACTTTGAATTCTTGTTCTAGTACATAAATCTGGAACTGTATATTATATGACCTGGACATCTACACTCTGAGATCCTGTATATCTATACCCTGCAGTAACATACCAAGATGGAGCCAGGGATTGGACGGTCATGGCATGGGTGGCAAAGAGCATCCCTTCCTTATATGTCCCCCACTTTAACACAGCCATGCGTGTTTTTTGGTAGAAAATCCCCATGTTTTTATCAGTGAAGAAGAAACAGGAATGAGCTCTGTGGCGGGACTGCCTAATTTGTGAATTGCCTTGTTTTATATGTGTGGATGTGCCCTCCTAGAATGTGTGTTTCCCCTCTTTCATATTCCTCTTTCTGTAATTTTAACTATAAAATCCTGCAATATACCTTTTGACCGACCAGGGTGCTCCGGCACTTCATTTAGAACTGTAACGGCACCCCCAGGCATAAAAGGGGTTAAAAGCCGTTTAGTAGATCTTCCCTTCCAGAGACACAGGCACAGCTACTGTAGACACCAATACAGTGAACCAGAGAAGCATATTAATGCCGTAAACAGCCGAACCGGAACCATTCGAATACTGTAAACAGCCGAATATGAAAAACCATACGAATAGGTTTACACTCCTAGCAGTCAAACTGGACAGCATACAATAAATCCCCCCAAGAATGAGACAAGGCTCCGTTTTGAGGGTCAAGCAGGAACAGCCAGAGCTGTGGGTTTATTGTTCTTATATAGACATTAGTACCACCCACAGGGTTTTGGAAAACAACCAATAAACACATACAATACACTCAGACACTCCCACACAAAATCCTCCCCTCTGCCTGTGATACAATTACCTTACACAATGGGTAATGTAATTATCACCAGCAGAGAAATACAGTTTTTCCACATTATTCATAACTTTAAAAGTATGCATCACATTCACATAAAACTTACATTTTCAGAATAGGCATACTCCAAATACAAACATATGTCAAAATCATCCAAATTGGTTCAAAAGATAAATCGAAGTCGTTTGTGACCAAAGGAAGCATGGCTTTTCTGCCCAAAACCAGTTCCACAGAGTCTTCTATCCTGGAGATAATTGGGAAGTAATCCAATTATCTCCCAGGACAGAGGCAAAACTCCATTGAACACATGGCAGCAAAAGACAATAAAACACATAAAAATATATAACTGTGCAGCCATTGCACAAAACAGGTACATTCAACATATCCCCAGATAGATCAGATCTGAGCGCACATTATTACTGAATGGCGCTCAGAGCACACACATACAGTTCAATTGCCATGGAGCCAAAGTCTTTCCCATAGTCTTTCATTAAACGAATGGGCTCCATGGCATAGCTATCTGGGGTATCATCGCTCAAACAGGGCCAGCACCGAATGACCCGGCTTTCGTGTCTTCGCAGGGGAAAATCAAGCGTTTCAACATGTGGCCATAGTCTAAAGGCAGCAGGTGGGCAACCAGGCTCCTCCAATGCACAGTGGCGAGATTGGTCTCGTCACATCTCTCCCCTTTTCCAAACAGACTAACAGGGTATCTGACCTCCTGACGGTCAGTGCCCTTGTTAGTCCAGCAGCCCACCCACAAAACACAATCAGTAATACAGCCCACCCACAATAAATGGTTACCACACCTGGGTAGAGAACTTTGTCCATGTCCAGGTGCCTCACCATGACTGTGTGGGTGACTAGTAAGCTGCCTTGGTGGGTTGCTGAGTGGGCAGAGACCACGGGAGTAGCCTGGTTGGAGCCTGGTTGTTGGAGGGGCAGACCAACTGTCTCCCCTTTAGATACACAGCTCTGCTGCTGGAGGGGTAGACCGACTGTCTCCCCTTTGGCTAAACAGCCCTGTTGCTGGGGGCAGGACCGACCGTCCCTACCCCCTGTGCTGTAAGTGCAGAGACCACGGTCCCATCTGCACGGTTGTGGGGCTTACTGTCTCCCCCTTGTACGTTAAGCTGCTGCTGGGGAGAGGGGGTAACAAGCTCCTCTCCCATATATACTTCCAGCCGCTGGGAAAGGAGACCGACTGTCTCTGCTCCCAATACAGAGTCCTGCTGCTGGGGAAAGGAGACTGGGCTCTCTATTCCCTGTAGGACACTCTGCCACTGGGGAATGGAGACTGGGCTACCAATTCCCTGCAATTAATTCTGCTGCTGGGGGAAAGGAGCAACTATCTCTGTCCCCTGTAACTCAGCCTGCCGCTGGGGAATGAAGACTGGGCTCCCAATTCCCAATAACTCATACTGCCGCTGGGGAATGGCGACTGGGCTCCCAATTCCCTGCAATTCACTCTGCTGCTGGGGGACAGGAGCAACTATCTCTGTCCCCTGTAACTCAGCCTGCCGCTGGGGAATGGAGACTGGGCTCCCAATTCCCTGCAATTCACACTGCCGCTGGGGATCTGAGCCAACCGCCCAGCATCCTTGTAGCTCACCCTGCCGCTGGGGAGGGAGGACACTGTTCTCCTCTCCCTGCAAGGTACACTGCCGCTGGGGAGGGGAGACGATGCTCTCCACTCCCTGCACTTCACACTGCTGCTGGGGAAAGGAGACAAGGCTCTCTATTCCCTGCAAATCAATCTGCCGCTGGGGATCTGGGCTGACCGCCCAGCATCCTTGTAGTGCCAGTGGAGAGACCTCGGTCCCATCTCCACCTGCCACCTGGGGTTCCTCACAGTAAATCTCAACAATTTCTTCCCAGCTGAAGGGGTCTGGAACTGGATCTGTCACTCTGCTGTCCTGCGGAGCCTTCCCAATGGAGTGGAAGAGATCTCGGTAGTCCTGCTCCAGTTCCCACTCCAGGGTTGCTAGATGAGCCAGGTCTTGCTCTACCTCATGGGGGTCATCTCAGTCATGCCTAGCCTCCCTCTCGTAGAAAATGTCCTGAAGTCTGTTCTGCGCAGGACTTCCGAAGTCAGGCCCTTAACAAGCCAGGACCATCAAACTCCTCTCCCTCTGGCTTGTCATGCTCGGCTGTCCAGGGTATATACTGTGCCATATACCACCAGAGCGCCTGGTAGGCATCCTCCAGCCATAGCTCCTGCCATACCCGGTGCTCTAGTTCCTTCACCCATTCCGTCAGTGGCTGCTCTCCCAGGAAGGGCATCTGCAGGGCCACTTGCTTCTGCAACCGCTGCTCTTCACTGGGGAGACTCTCACCCCGCTGGTATTGTACATTATCCAGGGCCTGGTACCAGATGCCTTTCCTTAATGCATCCCGGCCATCCAGGTCCTCCTCCTCGTATAACACTGCTGGTTCCATTCTGTTGCTTTTTGGGTCACTGTACTGGGACATGCGTTGCCCCCACTTGTAAATCCAAAGAAATTGTGTCTCCTGTAGCTGTCCTTCTGGCTGTAGGAACAATCCCACCGCTTGCCACCAATTGTAACGGCACCCCCAGGCATAAAAGGGGTTAAAAGCCGTTTAGTAGATCTTCCCTTCCAGAGACACAGGCACAGCTACTGTAGACACCAATACAGCGAACCGGAGAAGCATATGAATGCCGTAAAAACAGCTGAACCGGAACCATACGAATACTGTAAACAGCCAAATAGGAAAAACCATATGAATAGGTTTACACTCCTAGCAGTCAAAGTGGACAACATACATTAGAGACAAGGCTCCGTTTTGAGGGTCAAGCAGGAACAGCCAGAGCATTCATATGGTTTCCTGTTCGGCGGATTGGTGTTCTGCAGTAGCTGTGTCTGTGTCTCTGGAAGGGGAAGATCTACCAAACGGCGGTTTAACCCTTTTATGCCTGGGGGTGCTGTTACAGAGTGTAAGCACAAATCTCAGTTTAATGGAGGCACACTGCCTTTTCTACAAATTTCCCAACAAGGTTGACGCCAAGCTGAACCTTGTTGGACACAGGACACAAACCAATCAAAATGAATGACATTGTATATATATATATATATATATATCTATGTACAGTTGCAATAAAAAGTATGTGAACCCTTTGGAATGATATGGATTTCTGCACAAATTGGTCATAAAATGTGATCTGATCATCATCTAAGTCACAACAATAGACAATCACAGTCTGCTTAAACTAATAACACACAAAGAATGAAATGTTGCCATTTTTTTATTGAACACACCATGTAAACATTCACAGTGCAGGTGGAAAAAGTATGTGAACCCCTAGACTAATGATATCTCAAAGAGCTAGTTGGAGTGAGATGTCAGCCAACTGGAGTCCAATCAATGAGATGAGATTGGAGATGTTGGTTACAGCTGCCCTGCCCTATAAAAAACACACCAGTTCTGGGTTTGCTTTTCACAAGAAGCATTGCCTGATGTGAATGATGCCTCGCACAAAAGAGCTCTCAGAAGATCTACGATTAAGAATTGTTGACTTGCATAAAGCTGGAAAGGGTTATAAAAGTATCTCCAAAAGCCTTGCTGTTCATTAGTCCACGGTAAGACAAATTGTCTATAAATGGAGAGTTCAGCACTGCTGCTACTCTTCCTAGGAGTGGTCGTCCTGTAAAAATGACTGCAAGAACACAGCACAGACTGCTCAATGAGCTGTCAGCTAAAGACTTACAAAAGTCACTGGCAAATGCTAACATCCCTGTTAGCAAATCTACAATACGTAAAACACTAAACAAGAATGGATTTCATGGGAGGATACCACAGAGGAAGCCACTGCTGTCCAAACAAAACATTGCTGCACGTTTACAGTTTGCACGAGAGCACCTGGATGTTCCACAGCAGTACTGGCAAAATATTCTGTGGACAGATGAAACCAAAGTTGAGTTGTTTGGAAGAAACACACAACACTATGTGTGGCAAAAAAAAGGCACAGCACACCAACATCAAAACCTCATCCCAACTGTGAAGTATGGTGGTGGGGGCATCATGGTTTGGGGCTGCTTTGCTGCATCAGGGCCTGGACGGATTGCTATCATCGAAGGAAAAATGAATTCCCAAGTTTATCAAGACATTTTGCAGGATAACTTAAGGCCATCTGTCTACCAGCTGAAGCTCAACAGAAGATGGGTGTTGCAACAGGACAATGACCCAAAGCATAGAAGTAAATCAACAACAGAATGGCTTAAACAGAAGAAAATACGCCTTCTGAAGTGGCCCAGTCAGAGTCCGGACCTCAACCCGATTGAGATGCTGTGGCATGACCTCAAAAAAGCGATTCACACCAGACATCCCAAGAATATTGCTGAACTGAAACAGTTCTGTAAAGAGGAAAGGTCAAGAACTACTCCTGACCGTTGTGCATGTCTGATCTGCAACTACAGGAAACGTTTGGTTGAAGTTATTGCTGCTATAGGAGGTTCAACCAGTTATTAAATCCAAGGGTTCACATACTTTTTCCACCTGCACTGTGAATGTTTACATGGTGTGTTCAATAAAAACATGGCAACATTTCATTCTTTGTGTGTTATTAGTTTAAGCAGACTGTGGTTGTCTATTGTTTTGACTTAGATGATGATCAAATCACATTTTATGACCAATTTGTGCAGAAATCCATATCATTCCAAAGGGTTCACATACTTTTTCTTGCAACTGTATATATAAATAAATAAATAAATAAAAATAATACAAAACATACATATGTCCATATACAAAATTACAGAAATAATTATAAATATACACATAGACTTTTACTGATGATATAATTGTTGTGATACGTTTTAGTGTTTTGAAACACAGGCAGATTTTATAGCCTTTTTGAAAGTTACAGGGTCAAATATATGGGTCAAATATTTTTGTATTGAAAATAGCCAGGTTGGTTACGTTACCTTTGAGAGTGTATGGTAGCCCAGGAATGAGAATTATCCCCATGATGGCATACCATTTTCAAAAGAAGACAACCCAAGGTATTGCAAATGGTGTATGTCCAGTCTTTTTTAGTAGCCACTTAGTAAAAAAAAACACTGGCCAAAATTAGCATTCAATTTACTTTTTTTTACTTTTTTCACACACAAACAAATATGAACGCTAACATTGGATGGTGTTTGTGACTAAGTGGCTACTAAAAAACACAGTTAATACCCCATATTGAATACCCTGGGTTGTCTACTTTAAAAAAATAGGTACATGTGGGGTGTGATTCAGAAATTTATGACAGATAATAGTGTTACAATGTCACTATTGATATATTTTAAAAATATGTATTTTGAAACAGCAATTTCCTATTACTTATAGCCCTATAACTTACAAAAAAAAGGGGGAAAAAAACACGTAAACACTGGGTGTTTTTAAACTCAGGACAAAATTTTAAATCTATTTAGCAGTTTTTTTCATTAGCTTTTGTAGTTAAGTAAAAGATTTTTCAAGCAAAAAAAAAATTGTTTTTTTTTATAAGAAATTTTTTTTGAAAAACATGTTTTCCATTGTATCAAAAGAGTCAATAGACATGTAACAACACAAAATATATTCGATTGATATAATAGACACAACATTTTATAAAAAGTCATCATATATATAGATAAATCGAATACATAGACATATAGACTAGAACAAGACAAAGAAGTAACCCTCCACCTATACAAAGCAGAGAGGGTTTCCTAATAATATATCGCAGCTTTCTAAATACGAGTCTAATTAAATTGTAACAATACAGAAATTGCCCACTTGTAACCACTATTGTTATTGTATATTTTTATACTGTTCAAGACACAAAGCCCATGGAAGATTGTCAATGACCATAATCCTATTTGACTAAAAAAGCTAAACCAGAAGTACATTACCGTTAAATGTTGGAAAGTTTTTGGAGCCAGTTAGAGTACCATTCTCTTTTTTTGGAAAAAAAACAGTCCTATTACTTATGATATCTTTTTCCATTGTCAGTTGAAATATAATTTGATCAATCAAACGGGATTTGTGGAATGGGTTAGAGGACTTCCAATGTCTGGCAATAATAATTTTAACTGCAACAAAGTTAATAGCAAAAGTTAATAGCAAAACAAATATATTTATGCAACTTTAATTGCCAATTCAATTGTCGAAGGGCAGAAGCCAGGTTTTTATTGAGTTTATTAAGTGTAACTGTGTCGAAGATATTAAATGCCCACACGCAAAGCGATTTAACTAGTGGACAGGCCCACCATATATG